ACATTATCGACAATCTTCAAGACCCAAGGTTTGTAGTTACACCAGTTTTTGTCATGGCAGAGATGCAAAAATTGCATGGACTAGACATTGGATATCACAAGGCGTGGCGTGCTATTCAACTTGCTTCCGCTTTAATAAGAGGAACTCCCGAAGAGAATTATGAATTATTGTCTTCATACTTGTATATGATGACAAGTAAAAACCCGGGAACTTATACTAACATAAAGATAGACGACAACAACAGGTAAACAATCAAAAAAAAGATTATGAGTCTGTTTTATAAACATTAGGACATGCTGTCCTTAACTTTTGAGCTTGTTAGTCTAACTTCAGGACTACCTGTCCTAAACTTTTGGGCTTGTAACCTGAAGTTCAGGACTACCTGTCCTTAACTTTNTTATCGACAATCTTCAAGACCCAAGGTTTGTAGTTACACCAGTTTTTGTCATGGCAGAGATGCAAAAATTGCATGGACTAGACATTGGATATCACAAGGCGTGGCGTGCTATTCAACTTGCTTCCGCTTTAATAAGAGGAACTCCCGAAGAGAATTATGAATTATTGTCTTCATACTTGTATATGATGACAAGTAAAAACCCGGGAACTTATACTAACATAAAGATAGACGACAACAACAGGTAAACAATCAAAAAAAAGTTTATTAGTACGTTTTATAAAATTTAGGACATGCTGTCTTTAAGCAGTTAACTTTTGAGTTGTAACCAGAAGTTCAGGACTGGCTGTCCTTAACTTTTGAACTTGTATTCAAAGTTAAGGACTGCCTATCCTTAAGTTTTGAACTTTGAACTCAAAGTTAAGGACTGCATGTCCTTAACTTTATAACTTGAAACTCTAAGTTAAGGACTGACTGTCCTTAACTTTTAACCTTGTAATCTGAAGTTCCGGACTACCTGTCCTAAACTTCTGTTAACCTTGTTTTATATTGTATTTTCAGGTTTTTTTATATGTTTTATGCAAATAGATCATCAATATCTGGTTGGAATCATTGTAGACCAGTGATTGCTGTTGATGCAACTTTTCTGAAGTCAAAATATCGTGGTGTTTTAATGATTTCAGTTTGAAAGGATGCAAATAACCAAATTTTTCCACTAGCCTTTGGAATAGCAGAATCTGAAAATAACAATTCCTATGAGTGGTACTTTAGTCAGCTTCGCAATGCAATTGGGAGCCGTGAAAATTTAATTTTTTTATCAGACAGGCATCAAGCTATTGCATATGGCATTGCAAAAGTATATCCTGAAAGCCATCATGGGATTTGCATCTATCATTTGGAGCAGAACCTAAAGCGAAGGAAGGAAAAAAGTGAGGTCATAAAACTTTTTCAAAGTGCTGCAAGAGTATACAGGCGCAAAGAATTTGATCTATACATGTCAGATATAGCAAAAGTAGATAAGAAGACTTATGACTACTTGATAGAAGAACCACCGGAAAGGTGGGCACGTTCTTGTAGTCCACGACGAAGATTTGACATGCTCACAACAAACATAGTTGAGTCAATGAATTCTGTCCTATTAGAAGCAAGGGAGCTGCCTATATTAAGGATGATGGATTTCATTCAAGTGAAGCTACAACATTGGTTTTATGAAAGAAGAAATGAAGCAGAAGGAACTTTTTATGATGTTTCTTGTTGGGTAGAGGAGGAATTGAAGAAAAAAATAGATTTAGCATTTAATTTGAATGTAAGTATTATGTTCTATGTTTAGCTTATGATTTTAATATAATTTAACATAATGTACTAACTTATAATTTTTCAACATTGAAGGTCTTCCCCGTTGATTCATGGCGTTCCAGAGTTGAAGAAGAAGGAATAACTTTCTTGGTGGACTTAAACAAAAGAACATGTGTTTGTTTTCAGTTTCAATTTGATGAATTACCATGCATACATGAAATTGCAGCTATCGAGAAGAGAAACATCAAGAAGTCAAACTTTTGTTCGCAGTGGTGCTTAAAGGAATCTTGGCTGAAAACAAATGAAAGACAAATACATCCTGTAGGACATACTGATTCTTGGATTGTACCAGAGAGTGTTAAGTCACAAATTGTTAAACCTCTAGATTTCAAAGTGCCACCAGGTAGAAGGCAGAAGAAAAGGCATATTCCAGCTACCGAGTCATCAAAAATAACATTCAAATGTGATCGTTGCAGAAGAATTGGCCATAATAGAACAGCTTGTATATATTCTCCGGCAGTCCATCCATTTTCAAGAAAGCATAGAGAATAGTAGATATATCCACTTATGTTTATCGACTCTTTTAAGTTTTTGCTATAAATTGGATTCATTATGATTATTCTTATTTGAGCAGATGTCTGAATTTACAAAATTTCTTTCTGCTTACCTTCTTTTTGTTTCTTTAGAGTTCAAAGATTAAAAGGTAAGGACAGGAGTCCGTAACTTTGACTTGCAGGTTTAAAAGTTAAGGACAAGCGGTCCTTAGCTTTGAGTTTCAAGTTCAAAAGTTAAGGACTGTCTGTCCTTAACTTTGAGTTACAGGTTCAAAAGTTAGGGACAAGCAGTCCTTAATTTTGAATTACACGTTCAAAAGTTCAGGACAGGAAGTCCTAATCTTTGAGTTACAGGTTCAAAAGTTAAGGACAGGCAGTCCTTAACTTATAGTTCAAAGTTTCAAAAGTTAAGGACTGTCTGTCCTTAACTTTGAGTTTCAAGTTCAAAAGTTAAGGACAAGCAGTCCTTAACTTATAGTTCAAAGATCAAAACTTAAGGATTGTATGTCCTTAACTTTGAGTTTCAAGTTCAAAATTTAAGCACAAGAGTACTTAAGGTTAACTTGCAGGTTAAAAAGTTATGGACAGAAAGTCCTTAAGTTTGAATTACACGTTTAAAAGTTAAGGATAGGCAGTCCTTAACTTTGAGTTCAAAGTTCAAAGGTTAAGGACTGTCTGTCCTTAACTTTACAAAAGTTAAGGATAGGAGTCCTCAAGTTTGACATGCATGTTCAAAAGTTAAGGACACTTGGTCCTTAACTTTGAATTTGAAGTTCAATTACACTTAGTCATGAACTAATACTAACAAACTCAATGGACAAATCAACACTTGAGAGAAACAAAGAAATTAATGACATAGTGACTTGATATTACTTCTGAAATTGTTTTTGCATAGCTGTGACAAAAAATTATGCTACGCAAACAAAATATAAGTGCCTTTTAAGGAATTTACAGAATATTTCAGAAGTTTTCTGAACTTGCAGAATTCAATGTATCCTTTACAGCAATTTTATACAAAAGATTAACCACAACTAACTTTCTTTACAAGTAAACTACAACTCCTTTGGACAGCAAGTTTCATTTTTACTCTCATAATCATCGCCAATATTTTCTGGTGGAGTATCATAACCAGAATTTCTTTTCCATTCACCATGTGCCCAAAGATTTGCGGAAAGTTCTTTTCTAAAGTCTTTTATTTCTTCAGGTTGGAATTTCTCCACATCCTTTCCAATCATCAACAACTCCACATATTTGACCAGGAATGCACCACAATCAGTCCTAAAAAAATGTAAGATATGCAGCGAATTAAACAATAAATCGAAAGTACTAATAAATAATATAACAAATAACAACATGTACGATCCAGTTTGGTGTGGTGATCTTTGCCACTGAATATCAAATTTGTTGAAGGCATTTCCAAAAGACTTGTGATGTTTGTCAAACTGTGAGAACTTTAGCAAGTGGGGGATCATGCGTGCATACATTTCCATGTAATTCATTCCTGCCTCATATGGCTCACTATATATGGAATCATATACATCAATCTTTTCTGATTCAAGTCCAATACCCCCAAAAGAAAGTGTGTCACAGAATTATCATCTTCAGAAGGAAGCCGGCATGGAAAAAAGATTTTGTCCACCTCTGTCCAACAAATTCCACATCTACGGCTGTCCCCCCCCCCCCCCACACACACATATGGTGTCAGAAACAACTGATTATCACCAGCACACCAAAAGTCATCGGTAGCATCTTCACTGAAATCTTTATACACAAGCACCATATAGTTATCAAAAAGAATATCAGTAGTTGTGCAACGAAAAGGATGGTCGCGGGTGGTAGCATTCCTTCTTTCTCAGATAATATAGGGCAATGTCAATATGCTTCATAAAAAGGCAAAAAATAATACAAATCCATCAGTCATAAAATAATTAAAAAATGTAAGAATAAAGAAAATAAATGCCTTGTGAATTATCTAACCTTATCATCAAGTACAAATCTGCTATCTGAAAGCTCAAGGAAGAACATTTTGCTACTGATTTTTTTATGAAACAATTTGTATCGTTTCTTCCTCACACCATTATCATCAGCATATATATCAGTTTGTCCCCTGAAAATTTTGAAACTATGAAAGTTAGAAGTTAGTTGTGACGACCCGAAGGGTCATCACTTGTTTCCTTACTCACCCTGTACTTCTGAGGCCTTGGAAACCTCATTTGGGGTTGCCTCGATTTGTGTGCGCAGTCCGGGCGAGTAGCCGGAAAGTTTAAATATGAAATTTGTGAGAAAAAAGTTAAATCTTGGTATTTAATTGATTAAGTTTGACTTCGGTCAACGTTTTGGGAAAACGGACCCGGACCCGTGATTTGACAGTCCCGGAGGGTCCGTAGGAAAATATGGGACTTGGGTGTATGCCCGGAATCAAATTCCGAGGTCCCAAGCCCGAGAAATGAATTTTTATGTGAAATTGTTTTCTGAAAATAATTAAGGAAATTGGAAATGAAATTTGATTAAAAGACTGTGGTATCGGGCTCGTATTTTGGTTCCGACGCCCGGTATAAGTCTTATATATGGTTTAAGCACCTTCCGTAAGATTGGTTGAATTCAGACGTCGCTTGACGTGTTTTGGACTAAAAACTCTAAACTTGATGTTTTATGAAAATTTGAAAGGAAATCATGGGTCTTGAGGCCTAAATTGATGTTAATGATGTTGTTTTGGCGATTTGATCGCGGATGAGTCCGTAGGGTGTTTTTGGAGTTATGTGTATGTTTGGTTTGGAGCCCTGAGGGCTCGGGTGAGTTTTGAGTAGGCCCCGGGAGGTCTTAGACTTAGAAATAGCAGATGTTGCAGGTTTAGAGGAGATGCAGGCTCCAGCGCGCCCGCGGTCGCCTTAGCGCGGTCCGTGGTGCGCTGCTGCGCGGCCGCGGTGCGCTGCTGCGCGGCCGCGGTCGCCTTAGCACGGTCCGCGGTGGAAGCTACGCGGCCGCGGTAGTCCATGCGCGGTCCGCGTAGCTGACTTCAGAGAGCCGGTAGCTTTCCAGGTCAACCAGCGCGGCCGCGTTCCCTATCAGTGCGGTCCGCGCTGGAAGATTCAGAGACTGGGGTTTGGTCCACTCCTTCAGCGCGGCCGCATTCCAAATCAGTGCGGTCCGCGCCTGAGGGTTGAGAGAGTTGTAATTTTCCAGTTCTTCAGCGCGGCCGCGGTGCATTTTTGCGTTGTCCGCGCTGGGTCTTCAGTGGGTATATAAGGTCGGGAAATTTCAGTCATTTTTCACTTTTTCAAAACCCAAAACATAAGAGGCGATTTTCCAAACGATTCTTCTTCTCCAAAACGATTGGTAAGTGATTTCTAACTCATTTTCTTTACTCCTTAACTTCTTTAAACATAATTTCAACTTCAAAACAAAGATTTTAATGGGGAAATTTGGAAATTTTGGGTAGAACCTAGGTTTTCCACAAATTGGGGGTTTTGGACCTCAATTCGATGTCAGGTTCCAAAATAAATTATATATCTGAGTTCATGGGGGAATGTGTAATCGGGTTTTGGTTCGAACCTCGGGTTTTGACCATGTGGGCCCCGGGGCATTTTTGACCTGGGTAAATGGATGAAAAAGCTATAATTAGACATTGGGTTTGATTTGTTTAGCACATATTGATAATGTGAAGTCATTATTGCATAGATTTGTTTGAGCTGGAGCCGAATTCGAGAGGGAAAGCGGTTGTTGAGGATTGAATTGGCCGTGGAAGTTTGAGGTAAGTGTTTGGTTTAACCCTAGCTTGAGGGATTAGGAGTTGAGTCATAATTGCTATTTGATTTGTGTGGGGTACGATGTATGGGCATGGTGACGAGTATCCATGCGTCGGTGTCAAGCATGACCGTGAGTCTTAATTTTGCTAATTTGTACCCTTGTTTGATCCTATGAAAGTTGCAACTGAATATTGATATTATTTGTACCAAGAAGAAGTTGAATAGGATTGGTTATACCTAACTCTCCCTTGTTGGGATGTTTGCCTTGTTGTGATTATTCCCTTGCCGGGACTGTATTGTGTACTGTGTTGAAAGTATAGGAGCGNGGAGCATTGGCTCGGGTTGAAATACAAATCGTGAAGGTATATGAGATAAGTAACTCTTTGGAGCATTGGCTCAAGTGATAATGTGAACTATGAGATGAAAGTGAAAGAAAGAAAAGAGTTAATGATTCATTCCCTTGTCGGGACGTTGTTGGTTATTGATATTGTACCCTTGCCGGGTTTTTAATTGTTGTTTGTGTTCCCTTGCCGGGATTTTCATTATTGTTTATTTATTCCCTTTCCCTTGTTTGTGATTGTTGATTGGGTGAGGAAGAGTGTTAAAGCACGAAGGGTGATGCCGTGCACTGTTTGTTTATGGTAAGGAAAGAGTGTAAAGCACGAAGGGTGATGTCGTGCATTGTTTGCTTATTATGAGAAAGAGTGTTAAAGAACGAAGGGTGATGCCGTGCCGCACGATGTACCATTCCGTGCCGATTCTATTGATATATGTGAGGAATGAGAGTAAAAGCACGAAGGGTGATGCCGTGCACTGGTTGAATTCTGTTTCATTACGTACTATTGAGTTGTGTTGTATTCCTTTATTATTGGACGACTCTTATTTGGAATTTATTATACTTCCCACAGCATGTTTCCCCTCCCATATTGTTATCTGTTTTGTATTTCGATTCCGCTGTATATATATATGAAATTGCATAGGTTTATGTGGTAGTCAGGTCTAGCCTCGTCACTACTTCGCCAGGGTTAGGCTAGACACTTATCAGCACATGGGGTCGGTTGTGCTGATGCTACACTCTGTGCATTTTTTTTTGCACAGGCCCAGGTTTCGAGCAGCACTAGCACGGGAGCAGGCTTTTAGTATCGTGAGACCCGAGGTAGCCTTGCAGGCATCCGCAGGCCCGGCGTCTCTCTCTTATTCTCCCTTTTAGACTGTTGCCTCTTTGTATTCGAGACAAACAGCTTATGTGTTC